TATATGATATAGGAGTATGGAAGGAGAAAACATGTTCCGCCGGCCCCAGGTGACTGCGAGAAGGGCAGGAGAAGATGAAGATGACTATTCAATCAGAATGTAGACTGACACTGGATTTGATAGGAAAAATTTAGATGCGCAGATCAACACGCTCCCCCTGGAAGCTATCGGAGTATATAAAACCGTGAAAACAGCGTAAGTTGTGAAGTCAAATCCACTAAAGACTATATTTTATACGCGAATAACGTGGTTAACGTTTCTCAAAACTTTAGTTGCTACAGTTAGTACCTACACCTCAACATCTCAGTACCTCTTCGCACGTTTCCAGACTGGTTTCTTCTAAGGAGCCATTTATATATTCCTTAAGCTAGAAGCAGTCAGTCAGATAGTTGCCAGATCACCCAATTTAAAGAATCCATACGATTTTGACAAAGGAATGTAATACTGACGTACTAGTTAGGAGTTTCCCAAATTAGTTTTGCATTAATTAGTTGAATTCGCAAACTCAAGTAACGCCTCAATACCCATAAGTTATTTCGTTTTATCTTACCTGAAATGTCCGGTGGTCTGATCACAAACCTACTTCATACTATAACATAAATAGTTTAAACCATATCATATATAATTCTTTTAAATTTGGGCGGTCCATTACATTTGATACACAACAAATATTATTTCAACTTTTGTCACAAAATAACTGGCTTGTTGGCGTAGTTTCTTTTGCTTGAAAAAAACGAATCTTTTTTTTAAAGGGATTTTATGACCTGGTAACTAAGATCTGTAAGCCATGTCTTAATTGTTTATATTCTTATTTTTATGGAAAATGATAATATAGAGTGAAATGAAATGAAATAAAATGAAATGAAGATGATTAATTTGAAACATTAATCAACTGGGATGAAATTAAATGAAATGAAGAATTTGAGGTCGTGGCCTAAAGGATAAGATGTCCGGTGCATTCGTGTTGAGCGATGCACCGGTGTTCGAATCTCAGGCGGGTACCAATTTTTCTAATGAAATTCGTACTCAACAAATGTTCACGATTGACTTCCACGGTGAAGGAATAACATCGTGTAATAAAAATCAAACCCGCAAAATTATAATTTGCGTAATTACTGGTGGTAGGACCTCTTGTGAGTTTTTGGGGATAAACGACGAAAGGAAGATCTTCCACCGAGCGGGTGATATTGCTCGGTAGACCGACGGTCCGAATGTTGTTGTTCGGAACTTGTATATATGCGCTTTATCTTGAAAATGTCGTAAGCGAGATTCAGGCATCTGTCAAATATCTTGCGTTGTATGATGGCTACCCGCCACATCACTCCCCTCCGAGACCGGAGGTCGTGCCATTTTAGTTATCGTTGTCCGTGCTGAGATTAGCTTGCAAGTGCCAGTGCTGCTCGAAGTTTGCGGTGAGTCGAAACTGAGCTTGAATGCTGCGTGATTGTCGCCAGTGCTGCTCGAAGTCTGCGGTGAGTCGAGACTGAGCTTGAATGTTGCGTGCGTATCGTGCGTAGTCCATGTGATGCAGAGCTGCCACGCCGGAGATGTGTGACCCCAAGCGTTGATGATCCGGTCGTGGGCTGCGATGAACTGTAGCGGCGTGATGAGGCAGTGAAGTTGCGTGCCGTAGGACCAGGAAGCGCGGTGAGTCGGCTGCGATGGTCCTGTTGAGGCTGCGATGCTGGCTTGCTGTGGGACGACTGTCAATGACGTGCTTTTATCTGCGAGAATGCGGGGATTGTGGTAGCCG